GCAATGTCTATTTTTGCTTGGTGTACACTTTTAAAAAACAGAAAGTCCTGCAGATAATTTTTAAGGATATATAGAGGATATTACATGCGCGCGCGGAGATACGGATTTTATCTTCAAGTGTTGAAAAGATCTCTCAACATGAAAAGATAAAATTCGTATCTCTAAGCAGCCATGTAATATTCTGTTTATCACATAATTACATATGAAAGGAAATTATGTCAGTAAAATACTTTTTTCTTACTTCCACTATATAGAGAAACCTCGAATGTGCTATTTTCACTAGCGAAAATATCAATTTTACAAAATGGAGAAATAAAGGTATTTCATACTAGATAATTATATGATAAAAATGGTTCAGACTTGTTATTCAAACACTTTTTGTAAAGTAAAAAAATAGAGGTTGCTGTGGAAAGGTAAATTATGATCCATCACTGTGAATTACAGGCGAGATTGTAAACCACACCGTACTCGTTAAAGGTAGAAATTAAGTCTTCTAATTAACTATTGTTGATTTTTTTTGGGATAAACGGATATTGTAAACGTATAGACTTTCATAGTCTCTAATATATATTTTTTGCTTCAATCGTAAAAACGTTCGCTCATCACCATATAAGTTCCGAACTACAGGTACAAAATATTTTTCATATTGTGCTCCAAACATGTCAATCTAGATCACTTTAATCGTCGCCTGATTCCGTTATAATAAGAACTCCAAGGGAGCCACGCCAACACCCGATCTCAATGCAATGTACAGATGAACATTTTATAAACTCTACGATCACTTTTACTTAAAACGAATGATGCTTTTAACGAACCTCATTAATAACATCTCTGTATGCAAATTTTCACCTAGAGAAATTAATCCATTTCATGGAGGCGATGAGTTTATACCCCTGTGAATGCTGATAACACGATTTATCGTAAACAGACATTTTATCACTAGTTGTTTAAAGTGCTACTTGCATGAAAATGGCCTTATTTCAAAACTTCAAGCAATACAAATATATGACTC